AAAAATTGTATATTTTGATGTCGGAGATTGGGAAAAATGCAGTTAAAAACATAGGGACATTATTTTCGAGAATATAAAGGAAATTAATTGGAATTAATTTCCTAATTCAAATCATTACATAGCTACCAGCTTCTTAATAACAATTAAGCACAGGAAGAGATAAAATCTAAAATTAGCTAAATTGAAGTCAGAAAAATGTATTTAAAACAGTGACAGAATAACTGCAGGAGAAATAATTAATGATTTAAAAGACATAGTAGAGAGTAAAACTGTTGGTCCAGATGGATTCTTGAAAGAAACTTCAATCATTACCTCCAAAACCTACATAGTTGTAAACAGGCTATTTTCTATCTAAAATGATATGTTAGTAAATTTATATGCAACAGGATGGATTGCAGCGCTGACAAACAGGTAAGTCAATTACTTTTTAGTCATCATGCAATTATTGTAAGGTTTCTAGCAGACATCTGTTGGGTTTTGACACCAGCCAAATGCCAGGCACCCACGAAAGCTGATCACTCACCCTTCCCTGCCACAGCTGGGCACCCGAGAGGAAAAATTTAACAAAGGGTTCATGATCTGACATAAGGACTGGGAAAAAACACTCGAAGCGCAAAGCAGGATCAACTTAAAGGTAAAAAATGAATTTATTACTAACAGAGTAAGAGGAGGATAATGAGAAGTGAAATTAGGCCTTAAAACCACTTTTTTTTCCCCCAGCTCCTCCCTCCTTCCCACTGACAGCACAGGGAGACAGGGCACGGGGGTTTTGGTCAGTTCATCACCCAAATCTTCTTCCACTGCTCAGGGAGAGGAGTCCACCCCCTGTGAGACCGTAGGGTCCTTCCCACGGGAGACAGTTCTCTGTGAACTTCCCCAGCGTGGGTTCACTCTCAGGAACAGCAGCCAAACCACACCTGCAGCAGGGTGAATTCCCCCCATGGGCAGACAGTCCTCCCAAAACTGCTGTGGCATGGCTCACTCATCCCTGGGCTGCATCCAACAAGGACAGGCTGCTCCAGCCTG